CTTCAAGATCTGGATTGGATCAATGCCATACATGAAGAGTTGAACAACTTCACCTGCAATGAAGTTTGGACTCTTAAAGAGCGACCAAAAGGTGCAAGAGTCATTGGAACAAAGTGGGTGTTCCAAAACAAGCAAGATGATCAAGGTGTTGTTGTGAGGAACAGGGCAAGACTAGTTGCAAAGGGGTTCTCTCAAGTTGAAGGTTTGGATTTTGGAGAGACCTTTGCACCGGTTGCAAGGCTAGAAGCCATTCGTATCCTCCTTGCATATGCATCGCATCATGAAATGAAATTATATCAAATAAATGTGAAAAGTGCATTTTTAAATGGCTTTATTAATGAACTAGTCTATGTTGATCAACCTCCCGGGTTTAAAGACCCTAGATATCCTAATCATGTTTATAGGTTGTCCAAGGCGTTATATGGGCTTAAGCAAGCCCCAAGAGCTTGGTATGAGCGCCTTCGGGACTTCCTCATTGAGAAGGACTTCACCATTGGAAAGGTCGACACCACACTATTCACCAAGAAGCTTGATGGGCATATCTTCATTTGTCAAGTGCATGTTGATGATATAATCTTTGGATCATCAAATGAAGATTCTTGCAAAGAATTTTGTGAATTGATGTCGAAGGAGTTCGAGATGTCAATGATTGGAGAGCTTACATTCTTTCTTGGTTTTCAAGTCAAACAAATGAGAAAAGGGATTTTCATCTCAAAAGAGAAATATACAAATGATCTTCTCAAGAGATTCAAGATGGATGAATGTAAGCCAATCAAGACACCAATGCCAACAAATAGACATCTCGACCTACATGAGGGAGGTAACACGGTTGATCAAACTCTCTACCGTTCTATGATTGGTAGCTTGTTATATTTAACCGCATCTAGGCCCGACATCATGTTTAGTGTGTGTGTATGTGTGCTAGATTTCAAGCTAATCCTAAGGAAACACATTTAATTGCCGTAAAAAGAATCCTTATTATCTTAAGCACACACCAAGTATTGGCCTTTGGTATCCCAAAGGAGCTAGATTTGAATTAATTGGCTATTCCGATTTGGATTATGCCGGGTGCAAAGTTGATAGAAAAAGCACATCCGGAGGGTGCCATTTGCTTGGTAGATCACTTGTGTCTTGGTCCTCTAAGAAACAAAATAGTGTGTCTTTATCCACCACCGAAGCGGAATACATTGCCACGGGTGCTTGTTGTGCACAAATACTTTATATGAAACAAACATTGCTAGACTATGGTATAGTTCTAGAAAAAGTACCTCTTTTGTGCGACAATGAAAGTGCGGTAAAACTTGCAAATAATCCGGTTCAACACTCACGCACCAAGCACATAGATATCCATCATCACTTTCTTAGAGATCATGTTGCTAAAAATGATATATCACTAGAAGGTGTAATAACCGAAGATCAATTGGCGCATATCTTTACAAAACCGCTAGATGAGGCAATGTTTTGTTGTTTGTGGAATGAGCTCAATGTGCTTGATTTTAGTAACTTCACTAAAATATGAGCTTGTGTTGTCCCATGCATTGCATTGTAATATACTACATGTTTATTTTGTGGCAATGCACACAGGGCTTGTCTAACATGGTTAAGATAACCGCTGAAAAGCGTGTGAAGAAGCTTAACCTTGGATCAAACTTGACAAGCAACTAGATTTAAATTCAAGTATTGCATATGCATGAATGTTGTTTTGTCGTTTATCTTAATTTTCCCTCTTGTTTGCCTATTTTCTTAAAAAGAATTATAGCCTAAGGAAAAATATTTTGAAAAACTTGAGGGTTTGAGAGAGGTCACTCACATCAGTCCCAATTGGTGTTTATTTGAATCTTATTTGAGTTGGGACTTGATTGGGAACAGGCAGCACGAAGGACAGTGAAGACTTGCTAGAAAAAGAGTGACCAGACACTGCACCGGACTCTAATGTCCAGCGTCCGGTCAGTTCACAAGAGGTGAACTTGCTGCAAAGGAGTGACCGGACGCTGAAATAGTGTTTTCCCAGCATCCGGTCAGGAGGAGCGTCAGCGTCCGGTCGATCATGAAGACATCAAGGCAAGGTGACCGGACTCTGGCTACGTCCGGTCAGTGTCCACCGGACACGTCCGGTCGTGATTCCAGAGGAATTGGACCTCTCTGGAATCGACCGGACGCTGGGTGGTAGCGTTCGGTCGCTACCACCGGAGAGTCCAGTCAGTAGAAAGCGTGCAGCATCAGATCTCTTTCCCTGTTTCCTTTTCTGACTCATGGGGCCACCTTATTTAATCAAGTACCAGGGCTTTGGCCTAACCCTAACCACCGACATCGCCGCGCCTCCCTCATCCCGAGCCACCACAAGCCCTAGCCGTCGAAGTGCTGCCCGCGCTCGCCTCCGCCAACGCTGCTGCCTCTGTTGGGAGTATGCCCTAGAGATAATCATAGAGATGATTGTATTGCCTTGTATCCATGATATATTATGAGTTCATTTGAATATCCATTAAAGACAACTTGTATCTATTGGCAATTATGTGAATTGTTTATGAAACTCTTTTACTTGTATGGTTATTCTAAAGTTGTCCTTGATCAGAGTTCTTGTGAGGACACACATGAATATTAGATCAGCACATTATTAGTTGATGACTATGTTTCACAAGTCATAGACATGGAGATGTCAAACTAATAATGTGGGCACATGTATGACATGGGGCTGGACAGACCCAACGTGAGATGTTCTTATTGTCTCTTTGCACATCATGTATGTTATGTCCTTAGACCTGAGATTGTCATATGTACTCAAGATGTGAAATGACCTACTTAGGGACTATCAAATGCTACTCCGTAACTGGGTAGTTATAAAGGTGGTTTTCAAGTTTGTCGGGAATCATGCTGTGAGACATAGTCAATCAAGATGGAATTTGCCCCTCTTCATGAGAGAGAGATATCACTGGACCACTCGAATGATTTGGATCAACAAAATGCATGGCCATGCTTGGGTTAATAGTTAACCCACGAGATGGACCAAATATCATGTGACAAAGGGAATAACATGTATGTGGTTTTGTGGTGGTTCGTCTGATATGATCTTTACATATGCATAGGAGTTGACACACCTTGCTAGAGGCCGCTGCCAACTATTGGCCGAATAGGAGTGTTCGGGCCATGTCTATGTGTGCGTGAACCCATAGGGTCGCACGCTTAAGGGGCTGGAAGCCTAATTCGGATTGGACCCGAATTAGACAAGGTTTAGGGTTGCTAATGGGCCTCCAACTCGGGAGCTCATTAGGATGCCTATATAAGCAAGGGGAGGGTGGCAGAGCTAGGTTAATCCATGCCATTTTGGCAGTCGCCGCCCTTCCCCATGCCCGTGCCTTCTTTCCTCGTGGACCTAGCAGTCCAGAGGCGCGACGCTTCATCCCTGTACGTGCGGATACCTCGGAGGTGCTGCATTTGGAGCACAAGGACGAACCGCACAAGAGGGACAGGTGGAAGGATGACCACGCAACTGCATGGCACTGCTGCGACATGCACGACTACACCGAGTCGCTTCCGCTGCACCTACGCGTCTAGTGGTAATCCCGTGATCCATAACTAGCGGTAGTTCCTGGTTTATGGGGTCGAAATTTTTGTTTTTCGGCTAGTGTAGCAACCTCATAACCCATCAGTGGTATCAAAGTTGTAGCTATGTCGTTATGGATTCAGATGTATGCATGTGGAGATATGCACGGTTGTAGATGTCTTTCTGATCATGGTTCGTGATCTCGCTATGTTGGTCTTGTAACGATCTACTAATACCGGTCAGAATTCCGCCATCCGAGTTAAGTGATACAGGTAAACCCAGTCATGGTGAGTTGGAGATCAATTAGATTGATCGAATCAAACCTAGGTCAAGAGTCGAGCGCATGTGATGCGCGGTGGTGGTAGATTGGATCTATTACCGGGCGCCGGGGTGCAAGAAAAAGTGTTGTTCGATAAAACGGCCGTAACTTTTGCATACGACCTCGGATTGAGATGATTCTTAAATGAAAATTGTAGAGAAAAAATTTTTACATCCGATTCTCGCCCACTTTGTTGGGTTCGCTGAATTTATTTTTGCGAAAAAAGGCTAGGAAGATGGTGTTTTTGGCATATTAAGATTAGACGTCGAAATCGGTTAACTCTATTTTGCAGGATTTCATGACTGGTATAGCCCTTATGTGTATGTGATGCATGTATGTAATTAATTCATGGCTTGCACGTCATGAGGATGACAATATGGGCTGGAGCCTCATAGATATTGTCAACATTATTGTAATGGCTTGCATGCCAAACTGTGATGATCCTATCCGCGACTATGTAATTTTAGTTCACTGTCTTGCGTTAGTGATAGCTAGTCTTGGCGGACTCATCACTGAAGGATGGCATACATGGATCATGGAGATTAATGGAGATGGAGATCCCCAGAGGAATAATGGGCTATACCAAGTCATATATGTGTTAATGCCGTTCTTACTATGTTCTACTTTCACGTGCGATAATGTTTTTGTCTACATGCGATAGTGAAGTAGAACGATCCCTCAGCAATGTTTAAGTTGAATTGCTCCCCCAAACCTTGCACTGTCTTTGGTCTTGTACAATCGATGGTGGGTCTATGAAATTAGGGTGCCACTGATTTTCCTTGACTAGACAGGTTCGTATAAGATACTTACAGTAGAAAGGTTGGTTACTTGAACAAGGTCATCCTAACGGTTAGGGACCTTGGAGCATAAGGAGTTGGGCGCTATAGCATAGAGATGCTACCCAACAACAAGAGTCATATGTGATATGATTAGCAAAGAGTTGCTTACCGATCTACCATGTCTTCTAGCAGTGATGCTAAAGCTCACTAGTAGACTTGTTAGTTGTGGGTCTTGAATCACTAAGTTTCAATAGAGGGATATTGATTTTAGTGGGAGTAGATTCTATTAAAGGCTTAATATTATTTACTCTATCATGGATACATTGTCTTAGTATTTTTGCATTACTTTTGTTATAGATAAATGGCGCCTACCAATCAACCATTTACTTTGTGTTCAATTCTTGAGAAAGATAAGTTGAATGGAACAAACTATGCGGATTGGATCCGCAGCCTGAGAATTGTTCTCAGGGCTGAGAAAAAGGAAGATATTCTAGACACCCCATTACCTATAGAGCCTACTGATAATGCACCTGCTACTGAGAAAAACGCTTACAAGAAGGCATGTGATGCTGATCTTGAAGTGAGTTGTCTTATGCTTGCTTGTATGGAACCAGATCTGTAGATGTAGTTTGACAACAACCATGCAGCGTACGATATGATCGTGGCGCTCAATGATATGTTCCAGACTCAAGCCAGGACTGAAAGATTCAATGTCTCAAAGGCTTTTGTTGAAACCAAGCTAGCAGAGGGCACAGCAGTAGGGCCACATGTGATCAAGATGGTTGGTTACACTCAGAGGTTGGAGAAGCTGGGCTTCCCAATTGGCCCAGAATTGGCTACTGATTTCATTCTCGCGTCTCTTCCACCTAGCTATGGGAACTTCATCTCGAACTACCATATGCATGGAGCGGAAAAGGGCTTGAATGAATTGTGTGGCATGCTTAAAACTGCAAAGGCTGATATCAAGAAAGGTGCTGGCAGTAGCCATGTGATGGCGGTCCAAAATAAGCCCCGATTTAAAAAGAGGGGCAATTCTTGGAAGAAGAAGAAGGGCAAGGCTAAAGGTGAGGCTAAAGGTGAGAACTCCAAGCCAAACCCACCTGCACCCAAGGCTGGACCAACTGCTGACACTGAATGCTATCATTGTAAGGGGAAAGGTCACTGGAAGAGGAACTGCAAGCTGTACTTAGAATCCATGAAGGATAGCGGAGGTAAAGGTACTCCCGCAATTTGTACACTTGTTGTTTATGTTACAGACATTTTCCTCGCTAACTCTTATATAAATTCTTGGGTATTTGATACCGGATCGGTTGCTCATATTTGCAATACGATGTAGGGAATGATAAGAAGTAGAAGCGTGGAAAAGGGAGAAGTTGATTTCCGCGTGGGCAATAATGCAAGAGTTGCTGCGTTGAACATCGGGACGATGCAACTCCACCTCCTGTCAGGATTTATTTTGGAATTGAATAATTGTTATTTTGTTCCTAGTTTAAGTCGAAACATTGTGTCACCTTCATGTTTGATGAAGGATGGTTATTCATTTGCGAGTAAAGTCAATGGTTGTGTTATCTCTAAGAATGACATGTTTGTGGCTTTTGCATCCATTGTGAATGGGTTATTTATTTTAAATCTTGATGATGCACCTGTCTGTAACATAAGTGCTAAAAGGCCTCGGCTTAATGAGTTAAGTCCTACCTATATGTGGCATTATCGTTTAGGTCATATAAGTGAGAATCGCATGAAGAGGCTCCATGCTGATGGGCTTTTAACTTCGTTTGATTTTGAGTCATACGAGACATGTGAGGCTTGTTTGCTAGGGAAGATGACCAAGGCGCCTTTCACAGGTTTTCCTGAGAGGGCGATAGACTTATTGGAACTCGTACATACTGATGTATGTGGACCAATGAGCACGATAGATAGAGGTGGATTCCAATACTTCATAACCTTCACTGATGATTTTCGTAGATATGGCTATGTCTACTTAATGAAACATAAATATGAGACATTTGAAAAGTTCAAAGAATTTCATAATAAAGTAGAGAATCAACGTGGCAAGAAAATTAAGGCCTTGCGATCTGATCATGGAGGAGAATATTTGAGCCACGAGTTTAGCAATCATCTAAAGAGTTGCGGAATTGTTCCACAGCTTACGCCACCTGGAACGCCTCAGAGAAACGGCGTGTCCAAGCGACATAATCGGACTTTGTTGGACATGGTTCGGTCAATGATGAGCCAGTCAGACCTACCTTTATCGTTTTGGGGATACGCTCTAGAAATAGCCGCTTTCACATTAAATAGGGTATCGTCTAAGTCCGTAGTTAAGACACCATATGAGATGTGGACTGGTAAGAGTCCCAGTTTGTCTTTTCTAAAAATTTGGGCTTGTGAAGTTTATGTCAAATGACTTCAGTCAGATAAACTAACACCCAAATCGGACAAATGCTTTTTCGTGGGATATCCAAAGGAAACTTTAGGATATTACTTTTACAACCGATCAGAGGGCAAAGTGTTTGTTGCTCAGAACGGTATTTTCTTAGAGAAAGAATTTCTCAAAAGAGAGAAAAGTGGACAGAAGGTGTATCTTGAAGAAGTTCAAGATGAGCAAATAGGGAAGGACTCTACGAGTGATGCTAATGTAGCAGAACAAGTTGAGATACCCGTGGCAGTAGAGGCACCGCCACAACCATGAAGGTCAGCAAGAATCCATGAGGCACGCGGGGAATTGTTATTGTTGGATGATGACGAACCTGCGACATATGCGGAAGCAATGATGGACCTAGATTCCGAGAAATGGCAAAGTGCCATGAGATCCGAGATAGATTCCATGGGAGACAATCAAGTTTGGAACATGGTTGACACGCCTGATGGGGTTAGACCCATAGAGTGCAAATCGATCTATAAAAAGAAAAATGATATGGATGGAAATGTTCACGTCTATAAAGCTCGACTTGTTGCAAAGGGTTCTCGGCAAGTTCAAGGAATTGACTACGACGAGACTTTCTCGCCAGTAGCGATGCTTAAATCTATCCGGATCATTCTAGCAATAGCTGCTTATTTCGATTATGAGATATGGCAGATGGATGTTAAAACAACCTTTCTAAATGGAAATTTAGAAGAGGACGTGTATATGATACAGCCCAAAGGTTTTGTTGATTCAAACAATGCTAGAAAAATATGCAAGCTTAAGAAATCTATTTATGGGTTAAAGCAAGCATCTCGGAGTTGGAACATTCATTTTGATGAAGTAGTCAAAGGGTTTGGTTTTCATCAGAATGAAGAAGAACCTTGTGTTTACAAGAAAGAAAGTGGGAGTGCTGTTGTATTTCTAATCTTGTATGTAGATGACATACTATTGATTGGGATGATATTCCAATGTTGCAATCAGTAAAGACTTCACTAAATAATAGTTTTCCTATGAAGGATTTAGGAGAAGCAGCATACATTTTGGGCATTAAGATCTATAGAGATAGATCAAAGAGGCTTATAGGATTAAGCCAAGATACGTACATTACAAGGTGTTGAAACGGTTCAACATGGAACAGTCTAAGAAAGGGTTCTTGCCTATGTCACATGGCATGCGCTTTAGCACTAAACAGTGTCCTTCGACAGCTGATGAGCGCAATCATATGAGTAAGGTTCCATATGCCTCGGCAATTGGATCCATCATGTACGCCATGATATGTACACGTCTAGATGTCTCATATGCTCTAAGTGTTGCGAGCAGGTACCAAGCTAATCCAGGTGAGAGTCACTTGACACTTGCTAAAAACAATCTTAAGTACTTGAGAAGGACTAAAGATGTGTTCCTAGTCTATGGAGGTGAGGAAGAGCTCGTTGTAAATGGTTACACCGATGCTGGCTTCCAAACTGACATGGATGATTCATAGTCTCAATCAGGATATGTGTTCATAATAAATGGTGGTGCGGTTAGCTGGAAAAGTTCCAAGCAGGAGACGGTGTTCTATTCTACAGCAGAAGCCGAGTACATCACAGCTTCTGAATCTGCGAAGGAAGGTGTTTGGATGAGGAGGTTTCTCATTGAACTTGGTGTGTTTCCAAATGCATCTAGCCCATTGAATCTACATTGTGATAGCAATGGGGCTATAGCACAGGCCAAGGAGCCAAGGAATCACCAAAAGAACAAACATGTACTTCGGAAATTTCACCTCATTAGAGAGTTCATTAGTAGAGGTGACATCAAGATGTGCAAGATACACACGGATTTGAATGTTGCAGATCCTTTGACAAAGGCTCTTCCACAGCCTAAGCATGAGACGCACATGAGAGCTATGGGTATTAAATATCTTCGAGATTGACTCTAGTGCAAGTGGGAGATTGTTGGGAGTATGCCCTAGAGATAATCATAGAGATGATTGTATTGCCTTGTATCCATGATATATTATGAGTTCATTTGAATATCCATTAAAGACAACTTGTATCGATTGGCAATTATGTGAATTGTTTGTGAAACTCTTTTACTTGTATGGTTATTCTAAAGTTGTCCTTGATCAGAGTTCTTGTGAGGACACACATGAATATTAGATCAGCACATTATTAGTTGATGACTATGTTTCACAAGTCATAGACATGGAGATGTCAAACTAATAATGTGGGCACATGTATGACATGGGGCTGGACAGACCCAACGTGAGATGTTCTTATTGTCTCTTTGCACATCATGTACGTTATGTCCTTAGACCCGAGATTGTCGTATGTACTCAAGATGTGAAATGACCTACTTAGGGACTATCAAACGCTACTCCGTAACTGGGTAGTTATAAAGGTGGTTTTCAAGTTTGTCGGGAAACATGCTGTGAGACATAGTCAATCAAGATGGAATTTGCCCCTCTTCATGAGAGAGAGATATCACTGGACCACTCGAATGATTTGGATCAAGAAAATGCATGGCTGTGCTTGGGTTAATAGTTAACCCACGAGATGGACCAAATATCGTGTGACAAAGGGAACAACATGTATGTGGTTTTGTGGTGGTTCATCTGATATGATCTTTATGTATGCATAGGAGTTGACACACCTTGCTAGAGGCCGCTGCCAACTATTGGCCGACTAGGAGTGTTCGGGCCATGTCTATGCGTGCGTGAACCCATAGGGTCGCACGCTTAAGGGGTTGGAAGCCTAATTCGGATTGGACCCGAATTAGACAAGGTTTAGGGTTGCTAATGGGCCTCCAACTCGGGAGCTCATTAGTGATGAGTATAGGCCCGATCTTCTGAGAGGTAGCCGATAAGTTCGATTTTGTGGAGATCTCGACGTTGGCGATCCGGCTTCAAATCAGACACGATTCGAACCCTGCAACCGTTACACCACTGCTCCGTTGGTTATCAACCAAGCACAACTTGATTGACCTCTCCAAGAAGGCTTTTCCTGCAAGCGAATCAAAGAGCACAAGCAAGAAGGTAAAACACGCAATCTGAAATTGCAAATATGAATGACGCGAATATCAATAGAGTATTCAAGAACTTGGTTCCAAAGGACTAATCGACACAGTGGAGGAGATCAAGAACGGGGGCCCTGGATCACTGTAAAAGGATTTGTCACCACAGTTACAATGAACGATTCAGTTTCTCGATGGAAAACTAAACTCTAAACAAAACCCAATTGTGTAGCAGCGGCGGCGGCTGTGTTTATAGTCTAAGACTCGACCTAGGGTTGGGGACAGTCAGGGGTTGGGCGCCCACAACTTGGTCTTAAGGCCCGACAAGATACATGGCCAAGTTGGCCCAAATAGGTGACGCAGCACCTTGCCGTGGTCACACAGAATGATCCACAGACCTTCTGGAGCTAGGACCAGATCCAAAACGATGGCGTCGTCGTCCCCTTTCCAACGCATCCAAGAACGGCCCGTTTCGATGTGGTATGAGAAAGTTATGACCGAAACAGTGACGACGTGTCTGCTGAATCCGAGGGCGACGTGGCAGCTGAGTTGGGAACGAATTGCAACTTGGGGAAGACCATGGCATCGGTGTGTCCAGCGTGGTGATGTCCTCATCATCCTCCCCTTCTCGAATTGGAGTCGTCCTCGACTCCATCTTGGTGATGTCCTCATCAATTAGGACGCCTATATAAGCAAGCGGAGGGCGGTAGAGCTAGGTTAATCCATGCCATTTTGGCAGCCGCCGCCCTTCCCCATGCCCGCGCCTTCGTTCCTCATGGACCTAGTAGTCCAGAGGCGTGACGCTTCCTCCCTGTACGTGTGGATAGCTTGGAGGTGCTGCATCTGGAGCACAAGGACTAACCGCACGAGAGGGATGGGCGGAAGGACGACCACGCAACTGCACGGCACTGCTGCGACATGCATGACTACACCGAGTCGCTTCCGCTGCACCTGCGCATCTAGTGGTAATCCCGTGATCCATAACTAGCGGTAGTTCCTGGTTTATGGGGTCGAAATTTTTGTTTTTCGGCTAGTGTAGCAACCTCATAACCCTTCAGTCTCCACGCCGCCACAGTGCTTCCCTACGCTCCCAAGCCACCTGCCTGCGCCATCGTTTCCACAGGCCACCGTAGCTCCCCGCGCCGTAGCTACGCCCACGTCAAGCCAAGCTCGGCGAGGTCCAGTCCAGCGCCTCCGTGCTTCCACACCGTCGAGCTCATCCACTGCACCAGCACTGCCGATCCAGCGCTGGTAAGGCCCTGCTCGTGCCCATGCATCCTCATTACAACTCGCCCATGACCTTGCTATTCATCATAGCACCAATTTCACAGGGTCGTCGATTCACTGCTCATCGGAACCCTAACCCTAGCCGAGTCGGTGGTTCCCCACGGGTCGCTTATCTTCTTTTCGGATCGCCGGTTCATCAGGTAGTAAGCCCCCGCTTCAAATTCATACCTAAATTGCTTGCTCTCAAGGTTTTGCATCTATTAGATATATCGTATTTATTTGTATATCCTATCTATTCCATCGTGCAATGAGTCGGTGTCGTTGAGATCATGTGGCAGTTGTCAGTTAACTCGGGGCCAAGCTCGCGAGTACGGATCGAGGCCAAGCCTCAGAAGTGTTAGTGGCAGTTATTCTTGTCAGCGACAATTGATCTTTGTTAGTTGCAGTAGCTCTCGTTAGATGGCTCGCACGAAGAATGTCAGAGGTGGTCTAGGAGATGAGGATCCGAGGCGTCCACCTTGCTTGCCTGTAAATCCTAAAGGCAAGGCGACGAAGAAGGTTGCATCAAAGAAGCACAAGTATCCTAATGCAGAGATAGCCAGAGCAGCTGTAGTTGCTGAGGCCGCAGAGCATGCCGAGAGAGGAGGTACTCGTAGTGGAGTTGTTATTGCAGATCATCTGTCTCCAGAGGCGCAGGGCTGACTTGAGCGTATTGAGCGTCTTCATGGTGGTCCACCTGGGACTGCCATGATGGCAGGACGATGTCTGGCTATTGAGGAGCCTCAGCCTCAGGGGGAGTCCTAGCATGAGCCACAGCAGCAGCCCCAGCCAGCAGAGCCGACAGAGCAGGCTCAGGAGGGAGAGCAGGTAGAGCAGTCAGAGCAGGCACCACAGCCATAGTTACGCCGCTTTGGTCATACCCGTGCTCTAGTCACACTGAGAGCAGATACTCAGTGGAGAGGTTCTTGTCCACCGCCCAGACCACAGGGTCCGCCTCCAGTGACCCATCTTGACTTGAGGGCCGCCACGGCCAAGCTGGTTCAGCAGCTGAGATTTGTTGATTTTGA